TGCCAGAATGTGATTTCTGTTCCTCACTTTGGCGTTACTTTTTGTGATCTTTATCAAGTCATTGAGGTCTTCAGCGTTAGTCATGCACCAAGGTACATGCACGAGGGAGCACTGAGCTCCTGAGATCATCAGTGCAGACAAATACAGAAATAGCTCCTCTCCTTCGGCTCTATGGCCGTGATGCTCCAATAAAGTAGACTCTTAATTGAATGTCTAAAGATAGACGGAAAAAACCCAGGCCTCAGTGAAAACATCAGCTTCCTGAGCGGTTGCACTTCCTTACCAGATAAATAACCAAGGGGAGATACATTGGTCACACTTCTAGACATCTTTGGACATCCGAAGTTGCAGAGAGGGGATTTTGTTGTTCTAGCAATGCCAGGGCTCTGAGATTTCATGTACATAACTGGAAATTCAGGACTTGGACAAGGTTGAAAATACCAGTGGTCACCTAAGGGTCCTAAACCTTTCTCGTAATCATGCAAGTTGTTCCACTTGTTTCCATCTTGCATTTTGAGGCTTACTGTACTGAAGATGCTGTCAATTCCAGCTAAATTTAAGTGGCACATGAAGGCCTTACAGCCTGGTGGTGTGAAATACTAGCCATGGCTTGCTTCCTTAAGTCACTGATAGTTTTTTATTGTATCTGTAGGAAATATTAAAAGATTGAGACTCAGCAGAAAACCGTCATTATCTGGTTTCATTCAGCACTACCTAAAAGTAATCACTTGGTTTGTTCCACCTGTGTGTATCTGCACTGAACTGTTTATTTCCCTCTGTTGTGATTAGATCCTGCTGGCTTTGTCAGGAATCTGAAATCTGAAAAAGTGCCTTTCTGGCCTCTCGTTGCGTATCACTGCTGAACCGGTTATGTCCAGGCAGCAGGGGAGTGAAATCGGATAGGAATGTTAACACTGGTGAGAATGGCAGTGGGTGGACCTTCAAAGAAAAACACTCAAGACACAGCTCACCTCCTTGGCGAACCAAACAATTCGCCAGTGTCACCCCTGCCGTGGCTAAATGACTAGAGTGAAAATTTATGGGGAAATGAATAGTTCTCCTGCTGTAATTATACAAACCCTCTCAACAGCGTTACACTCCACAAAGTCACAGTTGATAAATAATAAGGCACACAAACAGCGACTTAATGTTCATTTATTAAAATAATCTATTATCCTTTTTAGCTGTTCATCCACTTTGTTGAGAGTTGTTACATATTTATATTGCTAACATCTCACTATCCAAATGGTATTAATTGGATTGGTTTTGCAAGAGTGCTTCGGGGGCTAGGTCACTGCTTCGAGAAGCAGGGGGCCTGGGGTTAGTGACAGGCAGTGTCATGGCAGGACAGCAGTGGGAGCAACGGTGGGGTCCCAAAATGCTGCCAGTAGCGGGTGCTGCATTTATCCCTATCCTGCACAGTGCGGCAGGGATGGAGAAGGTAAAGGAAGGCTGCCTTTCTCCTCCGCTGCCCTCTGCCAGCAGCACTCATTTCTCCAAGATGGGAGTGAGCGCAGGGAGAGACCGCACTGGGGGCAAAGGCCTGAGCCCTCTGAAGAGGGAAAAGACGAGGAGCTGCCGCGACAGCTTGCGCTGCAGCCCCTGCCCTGGGGCAAGCCCCCGGCGCAGCCCCTGGCCCTCCGCAGTGCCGTCGGCTGAGGAACGGCGTTCGTAAGAGCACAGGGACCCATGCTCTGCCCACAGATCCCCGCTCCCGTGCCCCAGGATTTACCACCAGTGTGATAAATCACACGGATCCAAATAATTGCGACTAGTGCCTGAATTGACTGGGCTAGAAGTATGAGAAATGCTAAAAAGGCCTTTACGTGCAATCTCCTAGTGTAAAGAGAGCATCTGATGGGAACACGGCTCAGCTCTTGGGTTTGGATCTGTTAGGAGTTGCTTTCTCTAGCAAAGCAAATATTTGGTGACAGAACTAGATGTAGAAAGTGCTGCATAGCAGGAAAGTGTGAAGTATTCATAATGATATGAAACACTACTCAAAATTCAATGTTTTTCACATTCCGTTGCGAGCTTAAACATTGGACTCCTGTCACAGAAATTTCTGCTGCAGTAGACACAATTTCTAGCATAAATGGGCTCGCTTTCAATAGAAAATGGGACAGTTTTCAAAGGAAAAAAGGCCAATTTGTGAGTAAAAATGGGCCTCTTTTCTGAGCAAAGAGGCTTATAAACATGAAGTGATAAATGGCTTTGCAAGTTTTCCATACAATAATAACAACTTCCTAATCAAAATAATGAAAAAGTTGCATCTAGGAGAGGGGAGAGAAACTCCATTCGGGTTTTAATACATTGAAAACATTTTAGAAAATAAATATTTGAAAACTGTAAATTTTGTTCCACTCTCTAATCAGAATTTGTGCTGGAGACATGTCAGTAATATTTCTTTGCATATATTTATATGGAGTTATAATTCAAAATCCTGTTCGGAGTTTGCTGCCTTCTGAGATGAATTGCATGCAATAATGTTATAAGACTTAAGGAAATACAGTTCTTAGGATCCCCTAAGTGGCAGTGGCATCTGATTTTCTAGTAGTCCATATGTTTTGGGAACTAAATATATCTTCTGGCTTGACTCATTGATTTTACATGCAAATATATTGTTTCATAATAGCTGATCTGATGAGCAACCAATACGGTTTCTTCTCTCATGGCCTAAAAACGCTTCAAGATCTAAGCACTAAGGCCTTGGGATCTCCTTCTTACACACGCTCCAAAAAAGGTGTTGTGATGTACCCAGGAAAATGCATAATGCAAAATGCACTATTTAGTGAATGCTTTCAAATCAGTTAGCTACAGAGAAGATTGTGTGGCCTGAGAGGTTGCTTTGCAAAGCTAGAGATGAGAAATAAGTCTTTTAAAATTTTAAATAGCGAGATACAGTCTGGGGGATGAATGGATTGGGAGCAGCCCTGCGGAGAGGGACTTGGGGGTACTGGTAGATGAAAAGCCAGACATGAGCCGGCAATGTGCGCTTGCAGCCCAGAAGGCCAACCGTATCCTGGGCTGCATCCCCAGCAGCGTGGCCAGCAGGTCGAGGGAGGGGATTCTGCCCCTCTGCTCTGCTCTGGTGAGACCTCCCCTGGAGCCCTGCGTCCAGCTCTGGGGCCCTCAGCACAAGAAGGACATGGACCCGTTGGAGCGGGTCCAGAGGAGGCCACAAAAATGATCCGAGGGCTGGAGCCCCTCTCCTACGAGGCCAGGCTGAGAGAGCTGGGGTTGTTCAGCCTGGAGAAGAGGAGGCTGCAGAGAGACCCACCTTATTGCAGCCTTTCAGTACTTAAAGGGGTCTTATAATAAAGATGGGGACAAACTCTTTAGCAGGGCCTGTTGTGACAGGACAAAGGGTAATGGCTTTAAACGAAAGGAGGGTAGATTCAGACCAGATATAAGGAAGAAATTTTTTACAGTGAGGGTGGTGAAGCACTGGAAGGGGTTGCCCAGGGAGGCAGTGGAGGCCCCATCCCTGGAAACATCCCAGGCCAGGTTGGCCGGGGCTCTGAGCACCCTGGGCTGGTTAAAGCTGTCCCTGCTCGCTGCAGGGGTTGGGCTGGGTGGCCTCTAATGGTCCCTTCCCACCCAAACTATTCTATGATTCTGTGTTCTCTGCTATGGCATAAGCCCTACTTCAGCTTCCTTGTTTGTGCTTTATAAGGCAGTGTATGGGTGGTAGACAGATCACTGTGCTGCTATACAGAGTTTCACACCAGTTGTCTCCCTGCACGTTAATTCTCTGGAAAAGTGTTAGATGAAGGACATAAGATGAGTGATGTCAGAGATGTGTAGCCTTGGTTCTTGTAAACACAGTTGGCTGATAGAGCAGGTCTGAGGTTAAAAAAAACCCTCTAGCAGTGGTGCCCTAGCCACCCTTTCAGGCATCATTATGTCACTTTGCCCCCGAGATACAGACTTATTTTTCAAGGAAGGTTTGAAAAAAATATTCCTGAGCACACGTGACATTCTTACCATATAGTTTTAAAGGTGACTGCAGCACTTTCCCATCTGTGTCCTCCATTGATGATGTAGCACATATGGTCTTTGAGCAGATGGTTCCATATAAGGCAGCCATACAAATGGGGAAACTATTCATTTTAATTAGGTGCCCAGTCTTGTCTCCAGTGAAATCCATGTCAAAATTCTCTACGAGTTCCATGGGAGCAGGTTCTGATGCTGATAATAGCTCCCTTTCACAGGATGTGTTACTACCCCGTTGTCCAGCTTACAAACAGATGTGCTTTCATGCCTGATGGGAGAGGTAAATTAGAAATGCTGTAACGTTCCCATTGCACAGCAGTGGCCGCAAATTTTTTTTCAAAGTTATGGCTGTCTTTCAGGGGAGGGAAATTAAGGATGGCTTTTGCTATGGAGCTGTGCTGTCTGGTTCTACAATAGGTAGGCAGTCAGATAGGTAACCATGACATAGGAATCGCATATTATAGATGTAAATCATTAATGTTACTATACGCATTTGCTTTGTACAATAATTGGCAGTCATTGCCCATTTTAGAAGCTGCTTTCTTGTGTCTTACAGTGAAGCAAACTTAGATTACCATTCTAAATGTTAATACACAGAACAAATGCGATTTAATAAAATAAAGTGAATTTATATGTAGATTGTGACATTAGTATTTAATTACCTACCCGTCATAACACTGATGAAACAAGCTGCTAAATATTGGTGCACTGAAGTGAGAGCTTACTCTTTAAGAGCAGGTATATTTTAATTTCTTTCCTAATCTCCTTAAATAACAGGATAGATTATGTACTGTTTACCAATATTCACCTGTATGCAGCTGAAGCTCCTAGAAGCTGTGCTGTTTTGGTAAAACACTGTGCTAACAGATCCATGTCTATGCTATGTTTTATCAGGCCAAATTAAGTTTTAGATTTTTTTATTATTATTTTAATATGAATTAAAAGTGTTATGTAATCTGTTGTGGCGGGATTTTTTAACCTTTCCTTTTCTGTTATTTTTTCAGACTATGGAAACTCCAAAATACGAGCTAGTTATAGAAGCTAAGGATATGGGTGGTCTTGACGTGGGACTAACTGGCACAGCAACTGCCACTATTCTTATTGATGACAAAAATGACCATCCACCAGAATTTACCAAGAAGGAGGTAAGACTTTGCCATCTGTGTTCTACAAAATGGTGCATGTAAGTGTAATTAGCTTGTTTCTAAATATAAAAATGTTCCTTAATGGAAGAAGATACTTAAAGACATCTTTTTAGCTCAATGTGACAGACTTTCCTGGAGCTGCTATTTACTTCTTTTACATTAATAAATCTGTATGCATCATTTCCTAAACAAAACGCAACCACAGATTAAAAATTTATGTCAAGAGATATCATTCAGAGGTTGGCTAGCAAGATGATAACCTGTAAAATAAGTCTGCTAGCGGTAACTTTCTCCTTTTGCTCCTGTGGAGGAAAATAGAGAATTCCCTCCTGCCTATGTTCTAACTTAGGGCTTTTGAGGGTCAGGAACATGGATGAAAGCAACATGTTTTGTCCTAGCTTCAGTACTTCACCTGTGAGACAGCTGGTGTTCTGCAATGAAAGCTCTAGTCCTAAAAATTTTACCTTTAACATACAGGTGGAACTTGCAAGGAAAGTTGCAAAGAATTCCACTGAAGAATACTGAAAAGTGTGAAAAAAACCCAAATCAAAACAAATATTCACTGCCTGCAGGAGAGTTTAATAGCGCTACGGCAAAGTTCCTGGTTTCAGCCAAAGCAGCTACCAAATTTCCTGCCCTTCCCGCACTGCTCCTTTCCCTCTCCTACATTTATTATTAGTCTGGGTGGTTTTTGGTTTTTTTGTTAGAGTTTGGTTTTTGGTTTTATTTTTTTCCTCTGGTATCTGGAAAGAATTAGAGAGTGCCAAAAGTTTTACCTAATAACAGCTGGTTTGGATTTTGCTGTAAAAGTTTTGTGAGGCTCTGTAGATTTTAAGGAATATTCCCAAAGATGAGAAGTAAGCATGAGGGATGCTGATTTTAAGGTAATTTTAGAAGAAGAAAAGGAAATCCTATTGCTATAAAAAGTCTTGGTTTTCTCCTTAAGGTATGTTTTTACCCTTTTTTTTTTTTTTTTTTTTTTTTTTTTCCCCGGCCTAATTTTAGTAGTTCAACAACAGATTATTTTGGAGCAAATCACTGCAATTTTACTGGCTTAATTATTTCTTTTATAAATGCAAACTGGATAAGCAGGTTAAAAAAGGATGGAGAAGGTTTAGGAAAAAAAAGGAAGAAGAAATAAGAAACAATGACAATTTTGCCAACAGGAATATTATTTTTCTGTGGCAATAGCTATAATTACTTGAGTAAAATGCTTTGGCAAGAGCATTTCAGTCACCTAAAAAAGTGCCATGGAGAGCCTGATCCAAATTTTTCCGGGTACATAGGTGATAACTAAGTGGCTTTGATCAAACCATTAATTCCCTTAGAATTACCCTTTAGATCAGGCTTTTAATGTTCTGAAAGCTGTTTCCTGACAACCAATAGTTAAAATATTGCATTTTTTTTAGCCCTCTGGAATATAACAATGTAAAAGGACAACTCGGTGTATTTAGAAATATGAAGTAATTTTATTAATGAATAGTGATAGCAATTCATGTCATTCAGAGTCCTACCTACTTGATTTCTAAACTTTCAGATTTTTTCCTTCGAATAAATCTTTTTGTATTTCCTGTTTGACTTAATAGTTTTCTCTGTTAATTTGGGTCAGCATGTTAAAAAACTGGGGTGCCTGCTTATCGCCAGATGTTCTGTTAGGCAGTGTCTATTTCTGTGGAAGTTCAGAAATGTTTATAAAGTCAGTTCAGTCAGTAATACTAAAAGGTACTCTGTACCCTTGAAGGTCTGGTGGTTTCACTATAGAAATAAAATAGCAAGTGTGAAGAGACAGCATTATGTAGCTTTCTTTGAAAATGCCTGTCTTACACGTTTTTCTTGCACTTTTTATGACATACAAGTTTTCCTATAGAGACATCTCTCTTTTTTTAATACATTGTGACATGGTTTTGAACCTTTCATTATTTAGAGATGTTAGTGACCCCAGAAACCTTCCCTCTGCCTTGCTAAGTGATATTCTTATTCCATGCATAAGGCAGGAAAAATCAGTCTTTAGATGTATGGTGTCAGGACCCTTTAGAAACATATGCTCTATTTAAAATAAATAGTGTAAGAGGAGGGAGAGTGTGTATTAATAGAGCTAATGCCACTTTATTTGGCTTACTGCTTGAAGTACTTCATTACAGTATTTTAATACCAGTCGCGTACCACATGCTGCAATACTATTGATTTGAAGAAGACTTGGAAGAATAAGACATATTCTACAAGATAACTTTTATAGTAGAAAGCTCAAATTCAGTACATCTGAAGGTTTGATTTCAGAGTGCATCTTCTTTTATTTGCTTTGAGACTGGCTGCTTTAGGACTGGGTTTTTATGGTATTGACATGTTTTCCCAGCTATCTTCCTTCTCTTTAAAGGTACTTTTTCTCAATGCCTTTTTCCCTTTTGTAAAACAAATGCTTATTTACTGGCCTGTGTTTTCTTCTGATAGCATAATTTCTGCCTAAAATAGCTCTGCCTTTATTTGTCATATGCTGTTGATATAGCTCGATTAAGCCAAGTTGTCAACGTGTTCTCTTCATCTGTAAACACAGTGGCCAAATTCCTTCCTGGTCTGACACAGTGAAAGCCAATGAAGTTATGGAAACTGGATTTGTTCAAAAGTCTGGACACTGTATAAGCACAGCACTGGATAGCCCAGAGTGTGCACTAAACGGTGTTTTGTAGAATGTAGAATGCATTGTTATATATCTCTCTCTCTTAATAAAGATATATATGATTTCAATAATATTAATGACAAGACAGAAGTTTAATGATATTTTCATAGCTTTCTCCAAAGTTGAATATTTCTATATTTCTACATATTTCTATTTCCAAGAAGTCTTATATGTGATAACAGATATTTCTTGGAGTCCTCAGTGAAAGACAATCTCAGCCATGTGTGAGCATGTCTTGTCCATTGAAGATGAGTTTTATCTTTTGACACTTGACCAATTCCTTCCTTGTTTTTTCTCCAGAAACAAGTTTATGGATCTACCCCTAAGCAATGATACGTTTCTGTGCACTCCTATTTACTATATTCCTTGGAGGTCAGGTCCTTGCATACCTATTCAAAATGCTCATTAATGGGCTTTACTTGATGTTTTCAGAAAGGTCTAAATGCTCCTTTGTTGCTCTACACGGTTTTGCAGTAGTCTCTACTGGGTTTATGTAGATCTTGCTGGAAAAGCGGGTATTTGTCTAGTGAATCTGTTCTTCCATCTGCTATTTTTTTCCCCTGGCACACCACACCCATGCTATTCTGATGCAGTTGCAGCCTTTGTGCTTAGGGAAAAATTCATTGATAGTGTGTCAGGGCAGAAGAAGCTGAGCAAACCTGGCTGAGATCCAACATAGCACTTCCATTAACTTCAGAGGAATAGTTTAAGCCCTTGGGGTTATAAGTATGTGTCAGGTACTTTGATGGGTTAATGTATGAGACACTGCTTTGTGGGATTCAGCCCAGTTAATTATCTTGCTACTGCCCCATCACTCTACACACCTCCAAAATATCTGCCTTGTTCTATTTCACATATATACTTACTCTTACTCTTCATAATAGGCCCTGAGCAGTGCAAAAATCCATTCAGATGTGCAAACAGTACCCTGTTCCCTTCAGGGGTTTAAATAATTTCATCTTTAATGCCTAAAAGAGCAATGTTTTAAGAGCTCCTCCAAAAATCCCAGGTGAGGTAACAAGGTCTACCTTTTGAAAGGTCACAGTGGCCGGGATATTGTGCCAGATTTAAATTATACAGAATGAAAATAGAGATACTTGTGAAGTTAGTGGCCTCTTTTTCAGTAAGTTTTTAAAATTTACAACCCTATTTCTATAACGTGAAAGAGTTTTTAAATTAATTTTGTGAATTATTACTGAATACAACGTGTATTTTATATCACAAAGAGCAGTTTGGCATTTCCTTTCCAGCAAGTTAAGGGCTTAGGCTCAACTTTTGTTCAGCAGCAAGGGATTACTTATGTGAAAGTAAGAAATGAAGCAAAGCAAGGAGCAGGAATTGGTCATTCTGGAAAATCTGGTACCTGGTTTGTGTACTGCAGGATATTCAAACTGTGTGGGAATGAGTTAGACTGAATGAATGCTACTGGTGTTGAGTATTGGTTTTATACCTAGCACATTAAGAAAAATGAGAATTATTTTCTCGTGTCACTTTAACAATTGGTGACAGACCACTGCAGTGTTGTATGCCTGCAAAACAGTGATTTTAGTCTACAGTTAATGTCACTGTGGTTGAAGTGTGATGAAAAACTAGCAATGTAGCATCTGCTGGAAGCCACAAGCTGGCAAATACTTCTCTTTTATCTGTTCCTGTAGGCGTGGTTCTGCCCAGATCTTCCCTAAGACCCAGTGGAGGAAAAAACATTGTTTCAACATGACAACAATATGGATGTCACCCCTTACTGTCTATTCTTCCTCCTCCAAAAAAATAGTACAATGAATCCTAATTTTGGTCTTATACCATTATTGAATGCAGAGTATATGCTCAAAAATGGGATTCCACTGAGTATATTTGCTTCCCTCTTCTGGCTTCTATCCTGATTTTTTTAAAGTATCTGTTCCCAAGGAAGAAGCTTCCGTTGCTGCTCTTCAGTAATACTTTATTTTTCCTTAATATTGGATATATTGTCTTTCCTTAGTAAATGCTATCAGGCGCTTGAGAGGTGAATGCAGTGATGTGGCTTAAGGGGATGATTTTTCTACGGTGTACCTAATTCTCACATCTGTCCTTCACCACAGATTTGGAACAGCAGCACATCCCTAGTCATACATTGAAAAGTAGTGGGACTTGTCAGAGTGCTCTCACTTGCTCATAAGAAAGAGAGACTTCATTTCACCAGGGAACAGTCTCATTCTTGAGACAATTCTTCCTTCTGCCACTTCCATCGTCACCTTCAACTTCATTTCTGGGACAAAGCAATGTAAAATAGAAAGAATTCTGTCACATCAGGAGAGTAGGATTTGGGAAAATATTTTTCCTAGTTTAG